TTGAACATTAGAATGCTCAGAATCATCATAACATTCAGAGATTTTGGACTTGAGTTTATCCAGCTAGTATGCTCCGTACAAGGGTGATGTCTTATATAGCACAATGTAGACTGTTCTTACTCTCCGGGGACAACATCTATGAGCAGCCAAACTTAGTTTTTTAAAAATCCTAAAGCAAATTGTGGAAGTGAAATCTAGAAAATGATTTCCTCGGCAGACATAATTGGTGGAGAAGATCAAACCAAAAAAACCTTCTGTTGAATCTACCACTGTTAGGAGGTGCTTTGTTTAAATATAAGGAAATGATCTCTAATTTTATGGAGTGATCCAACTGTTGCTGTATACAGTGAGACAAGAATTGCCCCCTTCAATGAAGTTCAGTGAGATATATCTGTGGTTTCAATGCACTAAAGTTAATATCAAACTTTCCTCTACAGTTAGAATATTACTGTGATTCAAAATCAAAATTCTTCTGGATGCAGCACATGGATTTGGATGGATTCACTCGTTGACAATTCCACCTTCTTTGAAGCCTTCTGTGAATGGTAGACAAAATATTTTCTCTTCAGAGAATGCATGATTCCTGTGCAATATGCAAAACAATAAAATCAGTTTCTTGTTTTTTTAGCACTCCATAAAGATCTCCCAAAGAAGCAAAATCTGGTCTTCCTTTCAGGATTCTGGAAATTTTGTATGCTTCCTATTTTAATTTTGGACTTTTTTCTTGTCCCTTGTTAGTCAATTCTGATCTTTTGAATGTTCTTATTAAAAGAAAAAATGACAAACTAGATCTGACAATGAGTTTAATGGCATAATTTGTGACATGTTGGTATTGAATATTTTTATTTCCTTGATCACTAGTCATAGAAAGTTGCAAAAGTAGTTTCATGTTTTAACAATGGTAAAAGGAACTGAATATCGCTGTTTTGAAGTGATGTATTGATAGCACTCTTTTTTTTTTTTGGCAAAATAATATCATCTAGGTTGGGTTAGTAAATGTGGTGTTGGCAGGCCGAGTTGCATCATCTATGTGGATTTGTTCTGTTTAAAAATAGCACTGACCTGATTTGTTGTATCATTCAACGTCCAAAAAGGGAAAATCATTGCTTTTACACCCAATCAGCAGTATTGATGAACTAAGATCATTTTTTAAAAAAAATGTGCTGCAATGAAAAGATTTGGAAGCCACAGAGTATGTACATTCTCAGTTTTAATGCGGGTAAGACAGTATAATATATGGAAACCAAATACTACAGAGATTGAAAACATTGCTTTTTTGCATCTAATAAGTGGGCTTCGATAGATCCCCAACTGATCGGTAAAGTCTTTCAAAATAGATTATTCAAGATCAGTTAAAGTTGGTTTGGCTTTCCTCCCACATGTGAGTGCAGTTAGCCACTTCTTGCACCACCTGTAGCAGCCCTTATGATAAATGGTCCAATTCCCTTTGGTCAACAATTTTTGTAGGTCTGTCATTTTACCATCAGAACATCAAACTCCTTTAATCTCCTGCTAACTGGACAAGTTGGTGCCTCAGCATATTTGTGTCACAATGCCATGCGTTGATCCAGGCCACCGATGAAACTGGATTGTGAGGCAACGAGTGCTTCGTTCTGACTTCAGAAGAAAATAGCTGGTCACACCAAGTGTGCTTTTTGACTGCTGCTTTGTTTTTCTCCAATCATTCCCCAGGCTAGGGTCTACCCTAAGTGGAGAAATACTCCTTTCTTATCACTTCTACTCTGAACCTTCTCTCCTGATATAACCATGCCCAGCTACTAGTAAAGATTTACTGAGCAGACAGTCTGCCGTAGGTAAATTACAGCGCATTGTACTGAAAGGATTGTTTTTACGGGAAACACACCTATAATACATGAAATTGCATGGTAATTCTGAGATTGGCAACTAGCACACTGAGAATAAGGTTCACTTTGTGCCTAACCTAACTGGAAGGAATGTTTGCTGCAATAGTGCAGAATGGTTAAATGTTTTGTTTTGACATTCAAAGCACACTGCAATAACACTTCATGTTTTTCAAGGCATTGCTTTGAAAACATGTAACTCTTGTCTTCTCTAGCTGATATCTATCTTACCCCTGTGAAGATCTAGAGATGAACATAATGATGAATATGTACAGGCTATTGAGTGAAGTGTGCATTCAGTCTACCCTGATCCTTTCTTCTTTTGGTGTGAAACAGTGAGCATTGGATAGCAATTAAAATCAGGAAGCCTGTGACTGTTGGACAGTCTGGTAATTAGTGAATAGTCATAAGATTTTCATTGTTTAGATTTTGAAAGCACATTGATAACTCTGCAGCCACCTTCTTTGACTCTCTGGGATGTAGACTAACAGGTCCTGGGGACTTAACAACTTTCAGCCCCATTACTTTTTCCATTACAACCTTTTTGCTAATACTAATTTCATTCAACTCATGACTATGACATCAGATATTTATTGTCATTATGCGGTTGATCAGAACTTTTGATTGTACAGATTTTGGTATGTCCTCCAAATAGCTCAGCAGAGTTTCTCTGGGGGAAATGAGAGATACTGGTTGTCTTTGTGTAGATATTTTAGCATTTGCCTCATTTCCTCACTTGGAGATGAACATCAACCTATTTTGGCTTTTGGACTATTCATTCTCGAGAAATAATTACCAAGAGAATGTCTAATCTTCATTTCTTCTAAGTGATGCCTTACTGATAGAAGTGCAAAGTTATAGTGGTGACCAGATCTCCAGCAAAAGCAAAAACCTCATTTTATTGCTGTGACGTTTAAATTATGTTGCTACCAAGCTGTACAAACTTATACAGTAATACAAACAAATTACTGTATATCTGAAATAAAAACAAAGTGCTAAAGAAACACAGCAGGTCTGGCAGCAACTGTGGAGAGAAAAACAGAGTTAACGTTTTGAAACCAATGTGACTCCTCTTCAGAATTGAAGGGGGTTTGAAAGGAGATAGATTTTATGTTTAACAAGGGAGGAGTACGAAATGGAATAAATGGTAAAGGTGCCCCAGAACTCCAGGCAAAGCAGGTATTAATGTTAATAGAGAAGTGATATGGTTGGTGATGGTGTTAATAACAGAAAAATAGATCAGCTTCACTGAGAGCAAACTGATGCAAAAAAGACACCGGGGTGTTTGTGGTCTGAAAGTATTTAATTCAATGTTGAGTCCTGAAGGCTGTAGAGTGCATAAATGGGAAATGAACTACTGTTCTTCAAGCTTGTGTTGGGTTTCGCTGGAGCACTGTAGCAGGCGTAGCTGAGCAACATTAGCATGAGAGGAAAATGGCGTTTTGAAATGGCAAGCAACCAGAGGGCCATGGTCATTCTCATGGATAGAGGAGAGGTGTTCCACAAAGCGGTTCCCCAGTCTGCATTTGGTCTCGCCAGGATACGGAGACTGCATTGTGAACAGCAGATACATTGGACTAAATTAAAAGAAGTCCAAATAAATTACTGCTTCACCTTGAAATTGTTTGCAGAATAAAGAGAGAGGAGATAAAGGCCCAATGTTAAACTTTCTGCGATTACATTGGTGGGAGAGGTGTTGAAGTGTTTGGAGTGACATTGGAGTGTACCAGAGTGTTACGGAGAAAGTGGTCCCTGCAGAATGTTGACAAGGGAGGGGAAGATGTATTTGGTTGTGACATCCTGCTGGAGGTGGTAAAAATGACAACGGATCATCCTTCGAATATGGAGGCTGGTGGAGTGGAAACATATGAAATAAGAACAGAAGTGGACCATTCAGTCCCTCAAGCCTATTCTGTTTTTCAGTGAGATCATGGTTGATCTGTTGGTTCAAACTCTCCATTCCATTTACCCCCATTAACACTTGCGTTCCATGCCTAACAAGAATCTGTCTACCTCGTCTTAAAATATTCAATGACCTTGCCCACACTGCCTTCTGAGGCAGAGAGTTCCAAAGTCACACAGCCTTTGAGGGAAAAATAATCTCTACTCTGTTCTAAAAGGACAAACACCGATTTTAAATTCAATTTTCCCCAGTGCTGGGACCACCCACAAGAGGAAACATCCCTTCCACATCCATCTTTTCAAGAAAATGAGGACTAAGGATCCTTATGGCCATTATAAATTCTCCTGAATCTGTCTTTGATGGACTGGAATGCGCCTTAACCAAAGTTTTCCTTTTTATGCACTTTTAGAAGCTTTTACAGTCCATTTGTTTTCTGCTAGATTGCATTAAAATTCTTTTCTTTCCTTATCAGTGTCTCAGTCCTCTTTTGCTGTATTCTTTAAAATCTTCTAAATCCTCAGATTAATTACTGTTTTTGGTCACTTCATAAGCCTTTTCTTTTAACCTTCAACGTCCTTTCTCAGCCGCAGTTAACTCCTTTTTTGAGTTTTTGAACCTTAAAGGAATGTATAGTTGCTGTAAGCCTTGTAATATAATAATCATAATACTACTGTCCATTATCTGCAAGTAGGCATACACTAAAATGTATTTTCCCAGTCCAGCTCAACCAACCCTTGCCTCATGCCTGCATAATTTCCCTTATTCACATTTAACCCTTGCTTCAGATTGAACCTAACGTACACTCCAGAGACTCAAGTACCTAACCTAGGCTCCCGTTACAGTGCAATACTGAGTAGGTGCTACCTCATTAGAAACACCGTCTCTGGATAAGCCTTTGAATATCTGACAGTTTATGTTGATATAAAAGATTAAGTTAGTATTGGAAGCTATTCCCACTGTTCTGGTAACAGTGTTTCCTGTTGAACAATACCATTGAATGTAGATGACCTGTGGTTTATCCCTTAGCCCAGCAAGACCCCTCAAATTGGCTGCTGCAGCTGAGTACAACAATTACTATGTTCGAAAAGGAATTTATTTGTTGTGAACCACTTCGGGATGTGCTAAGGACATAAAAATGTATTGTGCAGATCTTTGTATTATACATTGCGAATCACAAAGTGATATTTATAAAATGCTAGTAAGTGTCAACTTATTTTGTCTACTTCATCCTGCAGATTAGTAGGGTGTCATTCATCTGAAGTGTTGGGCTGGAGAAGGAAGGATATAAAACGGTAAGCAGCAGAATTCTGAATCAGACTTGTACAATTGAAGCTGTAACTTGAATTCAGCTTACACATTTGCAATGTGTTTATACATGGAATACATACTGCTTAACGTAGTATGCCAAATATTCCATAAAAATAGATAAACCAGTTTAACATATATGTGATACAGATATTGGTACAAGAAAGGTCCTTCAATTAGTTTCTGAGACAACTTGAATGAATATTATGCATTAGCTCCCTTTTGCACACAATTCCATTAGTTGCATGTTAAAGGGTGAGGTAAAAAACATAGATATTCTTGGCTATAAAATGAGGAGAAGTTAGATAAGCTAAAAATCTTATTTCTTAACTACAGTGTTAATTCATTAAGGAAAATATGAACAGTCTGTGTCAAACTTTTTATGGATTGATAATGTGGCCAATTTTGTTTACAGTACATGTTACTTTATCTTAAGGATAAAGTTATAGCTATTTTCAATGTGGAAGTGCTCTGCTTTGCAGCACACCTGTGAATGGCATCATGCTTGTTTGTTACCATAAAGCTTACTACTTTGGTTTGATGTTGTGGTCTATATTAGACACCAGTGACTTTAAAGAAGAAATTCAGACTTCCGTTTATTAACCAAAAGAATTACACCACTAGCTTTTGTACTTTTTAAAAGAAACTTATTTTGCTGTGCAAGAGCTGAACAGAGCAAGTACTACTAGCTTTAACGCTATATTTTGAAAGCGCTCGTACTTCAAACCAGAAAATCTCAACAGAATACTTCCTGTTCTACTTTTATTTCCAGCCAAGAAATCCCCTATACTTGACATAATCTTGCTGGTTCCTTCACTTCTCCTGGATTCAAACCAAGGTGCACCACAGTTCTTGGGAAATGATTTTCCTCGTCTGTGCTATTTTCAGAGGCAGTACCCAATTATTTTTAGGGCTACTCATGAGATTTTCTTGAGAGCTACTTTTTGAATTTGGAAGGTTTTCCTGTTGATTTTTAGTGGCTTCAACTTTATTTTGACTAACTCTAGTGATATAGTTCAATAGTAACAACAACTTTTGTGTTTGCATTGACATATGAGGTCTTAGGGCTGTCAAGAAATGGAATTGTAGATTAACTGCATTAAAATCATCAGTAATTACCAGCCCTCTGTGAAGTTTAAAGCCACACTCAGCATTAATTCTTAAACACTGCATATTTAAATTGGTACACTGAAAGTGCAGCATGGATCTTGCTGCTGCTGGGCTTGCAGGCTTAGTTAAAGATTTATTACAGTTTTTTTTCCAGTTATTACAATTATTATATTTTACTAATGCAAGATTTTTATTCATTCTGTTTCAGTGACATTCAAAAAACCCATAAAAACAAAAATTTTTTAAACGGACTTTTTCTTAAATGAGCTTTTAAGAGTCTGCAGTGAACGGCTGAGGTTTTTTTATTTTAAATTCAGAAGCTAAAAAAAGTGTGTGTGTGTTTTAGAAGTTTTTTTTTTCACATTGCAAAGGTTTGTTTTGAAAAACCAAACAGCTTTTTTAAATAAAGAGTTGTGTTTTCATTTTGGCGAGTCCTACACGTGGTTGGCTCAGGAGATTTTTTTTTCTTCGAGGAATTTATTGAAGAGGAGTTTTTTATTCAGTCAATCAACTAAGTGGTTGATTTTATTTAAGTTTTATATGTTTGATATATGCATTTAATTTTTCAGTTTTAACATTATATTCTGTAGGTAATGAGGTGTTTATTTATGAGGTGTTATTGAAACATTCATTTTAGGCTTAATGTTATTAAGGGCATATATGAAGTGCAGAGTGAGATGGCTAGTAGATTTAGAAAAGTTATTACACAGCAGGATTAGTCAGATAAATGGGTGACTGTCAGGAAAGGTAAGAAGTTAGTTCAAAAGTTTCCAGTGGCTATTCCTCTTAAAAATGTTCAGTTTTTAGAACTGTAGAAGGGGATAATCTCTGAGGAAAGTGGAAGGGCCAGATAGTTATTGGACACTTGTAATGATTCTTATGTTAGGCAGCATTTGACAAGATTTAATAGAATTATTGTTATTGGGGACTCTCCTGTCAGGGACATAGACAGGAGGTTCTGTGGCAGTGAGCATAAATTTTGGATGATTTGTTGCTTTCCTGGTTCTTGGATTAAGGATGTCTCTAAATGTTTCAAGCATATCGTTAAAGGTGAGTTTGAGAAGCCAGATATTATTGTACACATTGGTAGGAATGACACTATTAGGGAAAAGATTTAAGCAGTACAGAGTGAATTTAAGAGGTTAGGTGGAAGACTTTTTTTAAAAAAAAAAAAAAAATTTTGGAAGTAGTAATTTCTGCTTTAGTTCCAATTCCAAACTGAAACAAGGGAAGGAATGAAAGTTTAAAGGAGACAAACCAATGGCTGAAGAGTTGGTGTATTGTTCAGGGATGTAGGTTTTTGGACAGTTGGAATATCTTTTGGGATAGAAAAGACCTGCTCAAAAAGAATGGGCCTAACCTAAACCGGAAAGGGACCAATATCTTAGCAGGGAGATTTGCTCATTCCATTAAGGGAGACTTTACTCTGATAGAGAGGGGGAGTGGAGGAATTCTAAGTAGCAGTGTAAATAGAAGGATTGATGGGCTACACCTTGATGGGGAAAGTTCTGAATGTGAGGAGAGCACGTCAATTAGAAAGAAAGACAAGCGGGAATATGTAGTAAGTCTGAAGAACTAAGTTGCATTTATTCCAATGCAAGGGGTCTTGCAGGTAAGGCTGATGAACTCGGCATGTTTAAGAACATGGGATTGGGACATCATAACTATTACACAAACTTGGCTGAGAGATGGATATGACTGGCAGCTCAATGTTCTGGGTTTTAGATGCTACAGGAAGGATAGAAAAGGAGGGTGGTGTTTTTGATTAAAGAATTTATTACTGCTGTAACGAGGGAAGATACTTCTGAAAAATTGTCCAGTGAAAATGTATGGTAGAAATTACAAATAAGAGAGGAACGACCACTTTGGGATTGTGCTATAGGTCCCCGCAGTAGTAAGAGGGAAATTGAGAAACAAATATGTAGGGAGCTGTCAGATATATGTAGGGAGCTCTCAGATATATGTAAGCATAATAAGGTTGTAATAATGGGGAGCTTTAACTTTCCAAACATTGACCGGGTCTACCATAGTGTTAAAGGTTTGGATGGTGAAGAATTTGTCAAATGTGTTCAAGAAAATTTTCTTTATCAATATGTGGATGCTCCTACTAAAGAAGGAGCAAAACTAGACCTTCTTTTGGGCAATAAGGCAGGGCTGGTGGCTGAAGTAAAAGTGGGGGAACACTTTGGGTCTAGCGATCATAATTCTGTTAGAACATAGAGCAGTACAGCACAGTACAGGCCTTCCGGCCCACAATGTTGTGCCGACCTATTATCCTACTCTTAAGATCAAATTCCCCTGCATACCCTACATTTTACTATCATCCATGTGCCTATCCAAGAGTCACTTGAATGCCCCTAACGTATCTGACTTCACTACCACCAACGGCAGTGCATTCCACGCACCCACCACTCTCTCTAAAGAACCTACCTCTGATATCTCCCCCTATACCTTCCTCCAGTCACCTTAAAATTATGCCCCCTCATAATAGCCATTTCCACCCTAGGAAAAACTCTCTGGCTATCCACTCTATCTATGCCTCTCATCATCTTGTACATCTCTATCAAGTCACCTCTCATCCTTCTTCGCTCCAGTAAGAAAAGCCCTAGCTCCCTCAACCTCTCAATGTCACAAACGTCAAGGTCTCTCTTGCTGTGAATACTGAAGCAAAGTATTCATTAAGGACCTCCCCTACCACCTCCGACTCCAGGCACAAGTTCCCTCCACTATACCTCTTGTGGCCATCCTCTTGTTCCTTACATAAGAATAGAATACCTTGGGATTTTCTTTAATCCTACCTGCCAAGGTTTTTTCATACCCCCTTCTAGCTCTCCGAAGTCCATTCTTCAGTTCCTTCCTGGCTACCTTGTAACTTTCTAGAGCCCTAGTTTCAAGATGGTTATTGAAAAGGGTAAGCCTTCCATAAAAGTTAGTTTTGAATTGGAGTATGGCAAATTTTAATGGGATGGGACAAGAACTTTCAAAAGTTGATTGAGTAAACTGCAGATAAAAGAACGTCTGACAAGTGGGAGGCATTCAATAATGTGATAATAAGAGTTCAGAGGCATTTTCTTCCTGTGAAGGGTAAAGCTGGTAAGATTAAGGAACAATGGACGAATAAAGATATTGAGGTTCTAGTCAAGAATAAAAGAGAATCTTATTTTGGATATAGAGAACTTGGTTCAATCGCATCTCTTAATATAAAGAGTGTGGGGGCATTCTTAAGAGAGAAATCAGGAAGGCAAAGAGAGGATATGAGATAACGTTGGCAGAGAAGGCTAAGGATAATCTTAAGAGATTCTCCAAATACATCAAGAGTAAGAGGGTAGGTAGAGAGCAGGTAGAGCCTCTTAAAGGACAAGGTCGTCTTTACGTTGAACTCCAGGAGATGGGAGAGATACTAAATGAATATCTCGCGTCGGTTTTTACTGTGGAGAAAGAAATTGAGTGTGGAGAATGCAGAGAAATTCACATTACAGAAGAGGAGGTGGGGAGGTCTTGGAGAATATAAAGGTGGATAAATGTTCGGAACCTGATCTAGTGTATCCCAGCACTTTTGAGGGAGTCGGGTGAGTTGCCTGTTGAATGGAAGGTGGCTAATGTTGTACCTTTTGTTTAAGGAAGGTTGTAAGGAGAAATCAGGGAACTATGGACCTGTGAGTTTGACTTTGTTTCTGGGTAAATTGTTGGAAGTAATTATAAAAGGTAAGATTTATGGACGTTTAGAGAGGCAAAAATTAATTAGGGATAGTCAGCATGGTTTTGTGCAAGGAAAATCATGTCTCACAAACTTGATTGAGTTTTTTGAGGAAGTTACCAAAAAGATTGATGGCAGAGCAGTAAACGTTGTTTATTTGGATCTTAGTAAAGTCTTTGTCAAGGT